TCCCACTCCTGGTGAAATTACTCCCACTCCCATCCCGCTCCCATTCAGAATGACTCCCGCTCCTGCACCACTCCCATTCTTGTTTTTTTTTTGAGCACGGGTGAAAAACTCTTTGTTTTTGGGTCGTGTAGTTTTTTTTGACTCGCATTATAGTATAGGCTTCAAGGAAAAAAACTACAAAATGGCGGCGCCGCGCCAGTACTGGATTTTTTTACTTTCTGTTTTATTTTATTTTTTGGCATCGATCCTAGTTTTTTTTTTTTTTTGTCATTATTGGTTTGCTCCCACTCCCGTCTGCTCCCTTTAATGTTTAATCGTGTACTGTCCCAATCACGTGATCGTTACTAATACTGACTCCCATCCCACGGGAATCCCGTGACCCGTGGGATTCCCGAAAAAATGTCAGTCTCTAATTTGCATTGTGCGAGGTTGGGGCAAATCAGCTCGTAAGCGCTTGTAAGTCTGCCTCAGCAGCATGATACGCTCACGTACAACACACAAGCCCCTTCTAAATTTCAAACATTTGATTTTCATCCGACTACAATTCCCGATCTGGAGGTAATGGTGAGAAGTTAATTAGCCCTTGTTACCCCTGTATTCTACACAGCGCAATGTAGCTGAAGCTCGGCCTGATCCAAAAAATTCTCGCAGGACTGACAAATCAGCTCAAAAAGGGCAAAGAATCGAACAGTGTATGCCTGGCCTCTGTGGACTAAATTTTGCAGGAAATTCTGCACAAGATTTGTTTGCTTTACTACACCAAAAAGGCGCTTTATTAGACTGAGATCTGATGTCGAGTTAAATTTGTTGCACACCAAATTACCTTGAAGGAGCGAACTAATAGTTCCAGAGTTTTGGAGATATTTACCCCCTCTGGCGAGTATTGTGCACACGGATAGAAGAGGAGGAAAACACTACAGTCTGCTGCTGTGACTCCACAGGTTTTGGTTAATATTAAAGTTTTTTTGAATGGAGCAAAAGGAGGCAGGCAGATCTGAACTCCCTCCTTTTTAAAAGCTCTTCTCCTCACTTACTTCTCAATCGCTAAACAGGCTCCAAATTGCCCCTTTTTGTAACACTGCACAAGTTTTATTCTCCAACTCTTGTGTGGAGTATGTAACGGGGTTTAAGGTGTATGTGTGGCAAGAATTTGTGATCCAATTCCCAAACATCACATCTTTTACTGCAGTGGAGACTGAACAAAGAAGCCTGGTGAATGAGTGTGCGTGGCGATTTACGCCCACTCACAGGTCTACAGAAGTTGACTAAGACTAATAAGACAAGGCAATAATTTTTATTCAGGTTTTGTCTGGTTTTGTTGGTCAGGGAAGATTTTAAGCCTCAGTTTCCAGCTGGCTTAAGTTTTATATTCTAGCTTGAGTCATGCCTAAGTAAAAAATGTATGGTTTAAACTTGGTCGGTAAAGGTTTGGGACTTAATTGGACTCTCTTAATAAGAGTAAAAGGAAGCCATTATGTGAGCTGGAGACTCAAGCTTGGACAGGTCATGAGCTGCTCTGTGTTTTACAGTGAAAGGATGCGTTTG